CCCGCGGCACCGGTGGTGGTTGGTTACTTCCCGGGAAGGCACCTCGCAGCTTTAAGAGTGTCCAGCACACACGCACCGGTTCTGCTTCCTTAACCTGGGGTTCTGCTGCAGACTCACACCCCGGCAGGCCGAGGGGTGCGAGAAGGCAGCATAGGCACGTCCCCCGGTTTCTTCTCGTTCCGTCATCCGTGGGGAGATGCTTCCACCTTCTCCATAACCACCATTTCAGTGCTGGGAAACCGTGATCAGATCCAGCTGAGCCTTCCCTTGTTGAGGCTGAACACGCCGAGTTCCTTCACTCTTCGTACAGCAAGTTCTCCGCATTTTACCACCTCTGTGGTCCTCCGTAGGACCCTCTCCAACTTTTCGGTGGCTCTTTTGAAGTGGAGAAGATCCTAGGTGGAGTCAATCCTCCAGGTGTGGACACACAATTGCCAAATAGAGTGGAATAATGGCATCCCTTGATTCCTCTGGCTGACACAAACCCCGCTATGTTTAAAGTAAAACTAATTTCAATTGCCAAAGCATGATTGAATCACAATTGTTAATAAGTCAAATTCCACCATTAGGTCATTTTTAACAGCATGTGTTGTCTCAGCAGTAGCTGCAAGATCCAGCTAGGACTCTCACAAGTAAAAGTAATCTATCGGGTAAGCCAAGCATTATTGCACCAGCCTCTCAGCCAGACTTTTTCTCAGAAACCATGAGCCCCAAGGCAGTCAGCAGCATGGGATGTGCCATTACCATGGCTGCTACAGCTCACTGTCAAATTTATTGAACTGCCAATGACAATATATATGTGCTAATATTATCATATGTTAATAAGCAAGGCCTGGGCAACTTGAGAGTGCCAAATGTCCGTGGTGGGGCTGAGGAGTAGTGAGGCAACATAAGGCAGTTTATAACTACAATGATACTGCAATCAAGCAGCATCACAGCTAGACCACTGAAACGTACTCTAGGCTATATCGAGCTTCTGGTTTGTACCAGTAAAGAAACCCTGACAGTGAGAAACCACACTGAAATAGTTTCACTATTTCACTATGACAGATACCATCATACTGGTCTAAAGGTATATCCTGCAGGAGGGCAAGGCAGGACTCCTCACAGCTTTGTGAACACCACTGGGCTATTGCTGTATATTCCTGTTGCCAATACAGTTTCTGCAGGCTTGCAGCCATTAAAAATGGATAAAATGAGGTTCATGTTTGACACACACATATAGGAAAGCAATCAAACACTTTCATAGGTGTGCTTTTTATTCATTCTCTCTGCAGCTCTTTGTAACCCGTGATTTCTGCCACCAGCAGACTCGCCATGAATTTTACTCTCACCAAAATGCTCCCGGTCTGTCAGTGTGCAGTGGAGAAATGTGGAGAGTCCAGTTTGGTCCATCACTATCAAAAAGATTCCCAAACTGAATGAGGTCCAGTCAGTAAGTCTCAATGTCTTTCCCACTTCCCAAGTGGGTGTTGAAGCAAACATGGAACTAAACTGCCAAGCTGGTTGTTGAAGTGCTTTGGTGTTTTGTAGAGAAATCAACAGATGCAAACCACATGGATACAGCCATATAGCAACCAGCCGCTTTTGATAAAACACACAAAGATAGGAAGCATCACTGTGCACACGCACTACTGTTTGAAGCTTTTACTGACAGGCATCAGCCTGGGCATGACTAGAAGAGGTACCAGCTCAACTCCCCTGTGCTACAAGTGGTCCTTTGGACACAATGCAATGCCAAAACGAACTTTGTGTCTGGTTGCTGACGGTTCTGCGAGAAAGCACCCAGAAGTCTGCATTCTGGGTCCATCACCCAGATGCGTCAAGAGTTGCTTATCAACTGAAAAGATGGCTGAATATAGGCAGGGAAATGCACTTTTCCTCCAGTCTTATTCAAAGGACAGACTGAAACAGCTCTGCTGACCTTTTTGAAAAGGTTCAGCCCAGGGCTGAGACACGGCATGCAAAACTCCACAGCTGCAGTTAGAAAGCCCTGAAACCTGCAATGCTCAGAGAAGTTGTGGACTCCCATCCCTGCAAGTGTTCAAGTGTTCAGAGCTGGATGGGGCTTTGAGCAACTTGATCTGGTGAAAGATGTCCCTGCCCATGGCAGGGAGGTTTGGACTAGATGATCTTTAAGGCTCCTTCCAACCCAAATTATTCTATGATTATATGATCTAATGTGGACTGTACTGGGTGGCTCAAGTGTTGACTCCTCATGTTATAAATAGGTAGATTTTGCAAAAGGTCGACGCCTTTTGGGGTTTAGCAGAGGAGGGAAGTCCAGACGGGTGTCACTAGGCCAGGGTGTGCAGTAGGTGACATCAGTAGCGCCTTTCTACCCGTTTGCACAGCTGGATTTCTGTGGGCTGTCCTGCCCTCTAGTGCCTGCAGTGTCAGTTCCCTATGTCCTCTCTCAGCTCCTCTCACGGTCTGACCTGCCTGCCTGGGAGAGCTGCTGGTGGGGACAGTCACCCAGCAAGGAAAAGGTGTTGCTGCAATGTAGCATAGTAGTACTTTCGTGAGGAGTTGGTCTGCGAACAGACAGGTACACATGGCAGTGCAGGCACATTTTGTCAGTCATGTCTGGTACCGTTTCCAGTGAACCATCAGGAAAGGATGATTACTAAGAAAACTGACACTGGACTTAGCATGTGGCTTCAGCCCCTCACCTGTGCTCTAGGAGTCAGGAAGCTGAGGAGGATTTTGCACTGGCAGAAATTCCCAGTGGCAAGTAACTCTGAACCTGGAGAGCTTGAGGAACAACTGCTTTCATTCTATTACCTGCTGAGGTGCCCATTCAAGTTTGAGAGAAAGACCAACATCAGTGAAAAGCAATTTCGTTAGGTGCTGTAGTAGCTACCTTTCAAAACAAGGAAAGTAAGGAAAGTCTGTTCTGAGAACATTATCAAAGCACTTGCAAAAGTTACTATGATGCTCTCAATGTCCTTCTTATGACCTTCTAGCACAGTGTGGGACAGCATTACTTTCCAATTGTAAACCTCCCAGTATTTTTGATGGATTGGATTGTGTAGAAGGAGATAGAATTTTCCTGCCTTTCATTGCACTAGTCACTTCTCTCTAGATTCTTACAGCCTGAAATCAGCAATTTTAATGCTCTATTGTTGCTTAAGTTCATCCTTCAGTGTCGCTAGGACACAATACGTGTAAATAGAAAGCAATTGATTTCTTCTTTCTAAGACATTCGTCTCCATTTACTTGATGATTTGCCTGTTTGTTACTCAGTTTCCAAATCCTCTGCTCCTGCTTGATCTTCTTCATCTAACTGGGAAGATATGGGATCTGAAGGCTGTTCCTCAGCAACAGGTTGGTCAGTCTCTTCTTTCTCCTCGACTGGCTGGTCAGCTGTGTCTGTCTCACCAGACATCTGGGGTGCTGCATCCGTTGGCCAGGGCTCTTCAGCAGGTGCCTCTGTCTCCTGGGACAGAGGTTTATGGCTAAATGCATCTAAGCGTTTTTCAACCACTGTACAAATCAAGGCTGAAACAAAGAAAGCCACCATTAACGAACAGAGGGAAAATCCTATAATTGAAGACTGGTGTATATATTACTGAACTATAACTTCTTTAACAGTGAAAAAACCCTGAAGCAACACTAAAAATGATTCAACAGGAATATGATAGATGTTCTCATCAATAGTGTATCCTGCAGAAACATTCTCCTTAGGATGTTTATTCAGGAGTCACATACAATACTTTTTTCTTAAAAGAAGAGAAATTTCCTTCCCTCCTGAAGAGCTACATGAAGAAGTGGTCCTTGAGTGTACATACTGGCACATATATCAGGATAAAATACCTAACAGACCAGCTGTAATTATCCAAATCATACTATACCTTAACAAATAAAATTCAGGGTCCTGGTTAAACTGAAAATAAACCCAAAGGAAGCAAACACCATTGTAATTCAAACCCAAAATCCCAGAAAGAAAAAAACTATAGGAATGAAGATATGCAAGTGTAAAAAGTGATTTGATCTAGGAGCGCCCTGGTGGACACACATTCACCATAATTTTATGTTTCTACACAAGACAGAGTCCAGATTGTTCAGGTGTTTCAGGTACAGCCTCTGAAGGCTGACTAAAAGACCCCAAATGCTTAGCTTGAACCAGCCCAAAAGAAAACTGGTATTTCAATCTATTTCAAAAGCAAGGACATGATTATTGACTGCTGAGGAAGTAAGCCCTTTTTTGGCTGAAATGGGTTGGTCACCTCACTTCTCAGTCAGCCATGGCCTACGATTATCCTCTTTTCATGAAGGATGAACATATTAACCCATAGCTCTGAAAGCTTACACAAATGAGTTAAGGGACTTTCATGGTATACATGTGGCTGTAGACAGTATGGGCTTTTCTATTCCCACGGCACAATCAGGCACACTACAGAGAACAGAACAGCAGTGGTGGCTATGCAACATGGAGGAAGTAGAAGCTTTATAGCAGAAAAAGAATTAAAAGAATTGTGTTCTTTAACCATTCTGTTCTTGACGTGTTGCATCTCCCAGCACTAACAACTCAACCGTATAAAGCCAGCAGAGAGTGCACAGTGCAGCATGACTGACTCTTCTATTATTTCAGCTGAAAAACAGCTGAAAATTACCTAGTTGTATGTAGTAGTAGTTTTCCAACACTAAAACATTTTAATATAGTTAAAAAAAAAAACCAAAACAAAAAAACCCCAACATAAAAAGCCATGGGTACTTGCTAAAATGACCCCTCCTACCTTAACTCACAGTGACCATGTAAATGTAATACTTGTTCTGACCAGGGAAATAACAATCAACAACATCAAGCAGCCCAGATTACATTCCAGAATTTGGTAACTTACAGTCAAGCGCTGTCCTCCCCAGAACCTTCCTCTCTAGTGTTTCTTCCACTTCTGACATCAGCCATGGAAGGAATTCTGTCTCAATATCTGTAATAATTTAACAGGAAGGAAGAAAGAAAGAGAAAATGCCATTTTATTATGCATGACCAACAGGATTTGGGGGCTGTTTTTTATCTGCTATGACCATTAAGGCATGAAACCCCACGCCAAAAGACATTTGTTTGCAAGAGTCAGATAAAATCTCTTGGATGTTGTTTGGCTTCTTATCTTCAGCTTCTCTTACTGAGGTTCCTCAACATAATGGACCCAGACCAGAGTCCTCTCAACTGCAGTGATTTTCAAAGAGGTCTGATATGCTTGAAGGGCTAGCACAGATGAGATAGTCATGTACTAGTGAGATCCAAATAATTGGGCTGAACAAGTCAGAAGAATAACATTTCCTGCCTTGCTTTCCAAAGACATTTGGCTGCTGGTCTGCTGAAAGCATTTGTTCTCTCTGACTAAAGAGTTTTTGCTTACCCATGTATTTCTCAAATATTACTCTTTGTAGGTTGTGGTCCCAAAGCCTGCCTTGGTTGCAAAACACACTCTGCTTCTGCATTTACCCCATGACTTATTCTGGAGAGTGTAACAATTCCCAGGCTGTGGTCTCTGCACCTGTGTGGAGCCTGTTGAAGTTGGGTGCAGCAAGGTAGTCCATAAGAAATGCTGCTGATTCTAAGGGTCTGAAAGTCACTGATGTACAACTCCAAAATTATTTTCAGGGCCTAATTCTAATTGGCTAATTTCTCCCTTGCTGTGATAATGATTAAATGATTAAATTCATAATGACATATTGATTTCTTTGCCTGCCCTGTTGAAATATTTACTTCAGTTTGGATCTCTCTCTCCCTGCTCTACCAATCCTAGTCACTTACTTATTTCTCTCCCATTCCAAAGCATCTCTTCTTACTGTCACACTGTCAGCTCTTGCTTATTCTTCACTACTTGTACAGATGACCAATATGTTTGTGTTAAAACTATGAGTTCAGCCACAAATGTAAATGAATAAAGTCATATGACATTCTAAATAATAGGACAATACACTATGTTTTATGGTTGGTTTGAGCTTTACATTACTCAGTTCACATAATTTTTTTTTAAAAAAATACAAACCTCTTCTTATAGGGTCATAAAAAAATCCACTGTCATGAAGATTTCTGAAGACTGAGGGAATGAGATCAGCCAAGTAACGCTGAGTGAATGCCCGAGCTGCAATTTTCTCTGCAGTCTCTTTCTGTTTCCGCAGCTTTTCCATGTGCTTGCGCCTACGATTTTCCTGTCAGGAGAACAATGCTTGTAAAATTTACAGGCCTTTAGCTGTTACTCATTTGATCTAGACTTTGAAGAATTATCACAGTGAGTCTCATAAATACCAAAGATAATTGAAAGTACAGATAATCATGGTCTCTACCTGGTATTTGTGGCCTCTACCTTTCACAAAAACTCCCCATATGAAAGAGTGCTTGAAAGCAAGCTTGTACTCAAAGACTCCAGGGAAACACATTCCTGTGGTATACCTTTTCTGAAGGGCCTTGCAGCTGGCCAAAGGAAACCCTTCTCTGATGCCTTAGGACACACTGATCTCATGACACTTTGCTTTATTATTGCAGGTCAAGCTCATTGTTGGCCTTGGAATGTGAAGAAGTCGGATAAGTATTTCCTGAACTTTTTATCTTTCCAATATTATATCCTACTTGATGTACAAAAAGATTAAAACTCAAATTGGCCCAGGAAAATATTTTTAAAAACAATTATACAAGGCTGATGAATAATTAGTAATTAATACTTGCCTTTTCTGTTTATTCCTATTTACTAGATATTTCTAATATAGCATAATACTTGGAGATCTTGAGATGTATGTGTGCAGATAGAGAGTAGTGCACGCATCAGGTGTGAAAGACCACGAGGCATCTCTCTTATTTTCAAGCACTCTGACTATTCATTTAGCAGTTATTATAAAGAAAAGGCTTAAGAAACAGCTGCACCAGATACAGCGGAAAATTTTGTTGGCCTCTTAATCAGGTGTCTGAATATACCAGATCACTCAAGCATGACTGCTCCAAACAAATACAAGAGTATGGTGCTGTTGTATGAGAGCAAGTGGCAGAATCACCAAAATGGTTTGAGGAATATCAAGTTTCACAGTACCCTTTTGGGCATATCCAGCTTATCTCACAGCTTGTCTTTCAGTACTGGAAATATTTTTCTTTCTTCTGACTAGCATTCAGAAGAAAAGGCCTGTTTTATTCTTATGAAGTCCTACCTTCTCCTCTCTGATTCGCCTGTCCTGCTCTTCCAGGCGCTGTAATTCAACAAACTCTGCATCACGCAGCTCCGCATAGGCACGCTGGTGTGCCCACAGGTGGGCCAGCTCTTCTTCCTCCATGACTTCCAGCAAAGCCTGCTCAACTGTTTTCCCAATCAACACTTCCAGGATAGGCTTGACTTCAACATCAAAGTCAAACAACTGAGGATAGGAGTCAGGGAAACAATAAATAAATGTCTTGTGATCACAATCACTCTTAACAAGGACTGGCAAGGGAAAAAAAAGAGGATGAACAAAGCTCTTGTGCTGAAGACAGGCCAGAGATGTGCAGGTAAGGGGCCAGTGTCAGCTAAGGCAGAAAGAAGCAGCTGGGGGCTAAGTGATGAATAGGCTGGAGTGAGACACAACACACCCTACCACAGCCACAGTGGGGGCTACCAGGGAGAAGCCAAGCACCCCCCTGGACCATTCATTTGTGTTCCCAACCCTTATTGGGCTGGACACGTTTTACAGGGAACAGCATTTCTCAGCACTGTAGCTCTTAGCTGAAAGCAGCAGAACCAGTGCACATGAAGAAGCATCTTCCTTAATTTTGCTGTTAACCTTAAAGCAGATATTGGAGAGATGGGATGGGTTTTTTGTATGTTCTGTGAGGATTAGTTTCTTTCTGTTTCTATCACAATTTTCCATCAGAAATGTGTTTTGTATGGGGGACATGTTTGGCAGCACTTGTGGACTTCACTTCATACCTCTCCTTCTTCTACTTGTGTGGCCACATCTTTTCCTGTTTTGGCTGGTATGAAGAGTGGAGTGGGTGGTCTGTCCAAAAATGCATCTGTTTGACACTCTTGATCAATCTCTATTACCCGGTCACTAATCGCTTCCAAATACAGCTCTAGAAACAAAAGCACAATAAATACTCAAAGTTGGATTCTTTTTATTTTAACTCTCAATTATTTTTGATGACTCTACAGTGAGAATTATATCCAAAGAGTGCAATAAAATGTCTTCTATAAAGCTTAAAAAAAAATCACCTCCACTTAAAACAGATCAGTTTGCTGCATAGGCCACCTGATGCCATGATCTCTGTAATGTCAGGTGCACTTCACAGAAGGGACTTCTAAAAGGGTAGTTCACTTTATGCAAAATTTTTTTAAACCCCCAGTTTTAAGCATATATGAAACTCTTCTGATGATACTGGAAAAGGAAAGAATAAATGAAGAAGTCTTGACTAGTGTTCACGAATGCATAGTGAAAACTGAAAACCAGACCTTCTGGGAAAACGTCACTAATTGGACAATTTTATTAAATACAACTAAAAATAAGGGGCTATATGGAATGAATTAGAGAATCTCCGACTCTAGCATTCTTATGCCTGTGTGATGCAACCAACTGCATCATCAATTTAGCAAGTGAAGATAGATCAGCAAGTTTTTGTCTTCAGATGAATATGAAAAAAATGTAAAATAATTCAGCCTTTTACCTGTCTGCACCTGCACATGCTTTCTCCCTTCCACAGGCTCCGGTGTTGTTGATCGAATTTGCATTTGCTCCTTTGCATGCTTTCTAGCCAGTGCTCTTTTCTGTGCTTCCCTCTGTCTTTGAATCTCAGGGGGATTGGGTTGGGTACTCTGAGCAGGGGTGAAGAAGAAAAAACCCACAGAACAGAATACACTTTGTACTTTAAAATGATACTCAGTTCTCTCTACAGGAAAACAAAGGCAGTTGTTTGATTTTAATGCTAACAATCTAGTATTTGGGTTTTACTTTCCTGGCTCCTGAACCTAAATTTTCAGTTGACTTAAAGACTGTAGGGCACGAAACTCATAAGGTATGCTAGCTGCCTACGGGCACATGCTAATGGCATCTCACACTAAGAGCAGTTAATTCATTTGTTATTTGAAAGTGAGTATTGTATACAGAACTTTGCTTTGTGAGATAAAGTATCTTATAATGCTATGTTTCTGCTGACAAGTGAGAGTTCAAATTTTGAAAGGTCAGATGGACTTAAGTTCTGTTATCATATTAGCAACAGAATTGTTTGTTAGGTAAAAACTGTTGGACCAATTATTGCTGATGAAACAAAAGAAACCCATATTAACTTTTAAACTCAGTACTCTGCTTATAGATTGGAATGTATATCAGTTTCAAACTTCTTTAACAAAACTTATGTGACATTCAAACCAATAAACAGCTTCTGAACAACACAAAGTAGCTTTTAAAAATACAGACTGTTTTAAATTCATATATAATCAAATAATCTATGTAGAAACATTCTCTGAAAATGAAGTATCACATTTGGATGGGCTCTGAGCAACCTGGTCTAATGGAAGGTGTCCCTGCAGGGCCATTGGAGCTGGATGATCTTTAAGATCCCTTCCAACCCAAACCATTCTAAGGTTCTATGACTTACTGCCATATCAGGATAAACAAATACTTTTTGTCCTCACAAGCAGCTTTTGCAAACAGCTGAACCATTTAGCTCTGCTTCTCTAGTAGGATAAGTCAGTCTACCCCAAGACTCAATTCTCCCTGATCGCACCATACATATGGTAACAGATTATGCAGTGATGACTTGTGCTCAGGATCATTACACTAAAGAAATGGAGATGGGGAAAAAAGGGATAAAATACTTAATGGGGAAGAAAATCAGTACTACAGAAGTTCATGTGGCACCGAGCGCTTTAAAGCACAGTGGAAGACAGTCACAGTTTAAATGGAGAGCCTGTGACTGTGTGAAACAATATAAATAAAATTACAGATTCGGTAGTTAAAATTACGAATGAAGAACAGCTTTGCTGTCCTCTCTATCCCTTTTCAACAGAGCATGATGCACACCAAGAATCATACTCCCGGTGCGAGCCGCAGGCCCAGGGTGCTGCCGCACACCACTCTCGGGTCGTACATGATGTTGGCGTAGCGCACCGGCTGCTTCTCCCTGCGAGGCCGAGCAGACAGCGCGGTCACGGCGGGTCACGGCGGCTCCCAGCCCGGTCCC